CCTCAGTTCTACAGGCAGGCTGTTGTGACTGAGGGCTTTAAATAAAGCTTCCTTCGTCTGTCTTTGGAACATTATAAGATTGTGTTATAGCGATAGATTCCTGCTGCACAACAAATACTCCATATTATGGTTCGTCACAGCGGTGCTATTCTGCCTGCAGAACATTTGAAACCCTCAAAATCAACGAGGAAACTTTCACTAACAGCAATTCATCTTATGTCCTGGGATTTTTTTTTATTTTTTCAGCAGCTCAGATTGAGAGCAGGAGGGAGAAAAAAGAAAGAAAAGGAGCTCTGCTATCTCAAAGGGAAGAGAAAATAAGGAGAAAGTAATGCACGGTAAAGCTTAAATTGAGGCCATTATTGAGGGCAGGCAGGGAAGAGTTTAGGGATTSACTAAAGGAAGCATAGGCAGAAAAAAAAATACATTTAGTTAGGTCAGATGAGCAGTGACAGCAGCCGCACAAAATTTATCAAACCCATACAGAACATCGCATCAGCTCACCTTCTAATTACACTTTGCTCTCGAATCGCTGTGGCCGACATATTTTTTATCTGATCCAACATAAATAACTTGTGACATTTTATAACCGCCTTAAAACTGGGTTTCAAGGCTGCATGAAAATCTGACCTGCTTTTCCCGACGTCAAGCTCATCATTAGGTTGACGGCTGGGACTGGACCGTGCCGGTAATGAGGACACATTGTTTGAACGCGGAGACGCTTGCACGTCCAGGTACTTCACTCCCGCCTCTGTGTTTTAAAGCGTCGGATTTCAAGTTTAAATGATTTGTTACAAATAGCTTCGGCTGTTAGCTTGGCCCCGCCGTTGCCTTGGTAATGCTGTTTGGAACAAAGCTAATTGCACAGAGAGACACGGGAAAGTGCTTTTTCACCGTGAGCGGGACRTTAAAAAATATAATTAAATAAATAAATAAAGACAGGAGATATCGCTCCGGTTCTTAAATTAGGCCACAAAAACAGGTTGTTTCAGCCAAAGGACGACATCGGTGATCAAACTCGCTGTGATTCATTCAAAAAAAGCAGCACTGAAAAAAATTAATTGAATACAAAGAAATTGCGGATTCTGCAAATAAACTTTACTCTTCTCTGCTTTTAGAATGTTAAATGCTTTTTTTTCACTTCATTGATCGGCAGCTGCAACACTGATAAGATTTAGTGAAAAAAGAAAAGAAAAAAAAAGGACAGTTAAACTATTATCCCGGTAATAGCTGAACGCCACATCTCTATTCACATGTGCACAAATGCAAACCACGAACGCAATCACGAAAAATCTGCCGCTCCGTGTTTTTCTTTGTGCCGCTACAGGAAATAATTAAATGCTGTCTTTCCTGCTCGGGTTCTGAATGAAAGCAGACAAAGTGAGAATCCTGGGCTTGTTCTTTACTCTTATCACATAAAAAATAAAACATCTGATGCCCCCCCCCCCCCCCCCCCCCCACACACACACACACACACACACTTCCTGCACAGAGTGCATATGTAGAGAGGAATCAGTGCAGTTTGTTGTACTGTTTTCAGTCTGGAGCCGTTTCAAGCAGAGCTTTTGAGGGAGCTGCAGATCGTGTTTAGTGAGCTCACTCTCATTATATCAGACCCTGGGGAGAGAAGGGCCCTCTTTCTCTGTACTATCAAAGCCACGGAGCAGCTTTTGGAGGACATGCTTCAGTCTGAACATGGACTATAGAGTACATAGAAAAAGTGGCGTGCTCAGCCCTCATCACCTCGTGCCGGGAGAAGCTGCCAGCGTGAAACGTTTTGATCAAACCTCTCTGAAACCGGGTGACAGGTATAGTTGTAGCACGGTTAGCATAATGCATCGCCAACAAATTTAGTTTGCACTGTTGGTGAAAATTATTTGTGTTTTTTTTTGCATTCACATCAGAAAACACTGACTTTCATCAGCTCGGTGAATGTTGGAGACTTGTTTCTTCTTCCTACAACCTTCAACAGATCAGAAAAGCAAACACACAAACAGTGGAAGAGGCACCGTCTCTGTTTAACACCCGCTGACCTTTAGCTCGCTGCTTTATACTCGAAACAATCAGCCTCTGAGAGCCTTAAGGATGTTGAACAGCAGCTCTCCACATTCTTTCACCRTGTCAAACAGAATCTTCTCATCCTCGGTTTGTGCTGAACAGTTATTACACCCTCAGTGAGATGTTGGGAAAAAAATATGTTCCCAGTCTGAGTCAATATCCACCCAGTCCATTTCTTTTCCCTCTGATCTGAACCATGTAACCGTGGATTTTAGTGAAACKTTCAGAAAATACAACCCTCTCCTTTCAATTTATTTAAACTGAAACTACTGAATATGTTCATTATAATGTGGCTATATGCTCACAGGAAGGATTGTCTTAAAGAAAACATGAAATATACACTTCACTTCTATCTTCTTCATCCTGTTTAGAGACTCTTGTCCCTGTCATACAGTCTGAAAAATATGCCAAATGTCTTTTTTATCATTTTATTTCTGTGGGAGGAAGGTATCTATGATTGCCAATTTGAATTTAATTTCCTAAAGGCCCTTTCACAGACTAAAGTATGGAGGARCAGGAATTGTCTTTTGAGAATTGCTGCTTTTTTATTTCCTTTTTTTAATCAGATCCAAACAGCCACAGAGGCACACTGGGAGCTGAGCACGCTGGGAAGCTTTTGGGTTTTATTATTRTTTTCCCCACTTATTGAAACTTTAAAACAGTTTGACATTGACCATTTTTTTGATAAACACAGGAAAATGACATTTTTTTCTTATCCTGTATGTCTTCATGTTTGTTGAGAATTGATGGAAAAACTCAAACATAATTATAATAAAATATATAGAAACTTTTACAACTTTATCATTGTTGACGTCTTATTCTGAAACTCTGGGGTGAAAAAATAGCGWTATGTATTTCCTTCCACACATACCAGGGGCGATTCTAGGATCTGGTCTTTCGGGGGGCTTAGCCCGCAGTAGATTTTCTAAACCTCACTGCCAATTTACATATATTCACATGCAAAATTAAATAGTTTCATTGAATTAACAAATCTCAGAAGCCTACAACACAACTGCCAACATCTGCTAATAACAATAAGAGATACATATTCATGTTAAGAAGCTGCTGTGTGAAATCTCCTCAAATATATGCATTTTCTGGCCATTTGAAGAGCATTTTACTAAATATATAAGATTATTAAAACAACCTAAAATCGGTAGATTATGAAGGTAGAACACTGAAACTAGTCTTTAACCTGAACTTTATCTGCATCATGCTTAGGAATTGCATTAACCTTATTTTTTACACGTTAATCATCATGAATTTGTTTTGACTTCATCATATGATACTTTTATCATACTGCACCACTTAACACCTCATGGAGTAACAAAGCAATTCAATTCAGTTTATTTAGCATTGAAACACTTCATCAGAGTCTCCAGAGCTTTGTAGAGCTCTAATAAAGTGCTGGGTGAATGGGTAAACGAGGACACAGATTGTAGTGTGAAGCGCTTTGAGTATCCTGGTTGGATAGAAAGGTGCTAAATAAGTACAGTCCATTTACCATTTACCATCCTGAGCAGCACATTGGTGACAGTGGAGAGGAAAAAACCCTTTTAACAGGAAGAAAGCTCCAGCAGGCACTGTATTGTTAAAAAGTGTGTGTGTGTGTGTGTGTGTGTGTGTGTGTGTGTGTGTGTGTGTGTGTGTGTGTGTGTGTGTGT